GCTATCTAGCTATCTATCATCTAACAATCCATTCATCCATCCATCTATCTAACAATCATCTATCTTATCATCTATCTAGCTATCTATCTAACAAGCCAGCCAGCCATCCAGCCATCTAGCTATCTAGCTATCTATCATCTAACAATCCATTCATCCATCTATCTATCTAACAATCATCTAGCTATCATCTAGCTATCTATCATCTAACAATCCATCCATCTATCATCTATCCTATCCATCTATCTATCTACCTACCTATCATCTATCTAACAATTCATCCGTCATCTATCAATCATCTATCATCTAACAATCCATTCATCCATCTATCTATCTAACAATCATCTAGCTATCATCTAGCCATCTATCATCTAACAATCCATCCATCTATCATCTATCCTATCCATCTATCTATCTACCTACCTATCATCTATCTAACAATTCATCCGTCATCTATCAATCATCTATCATCTATCAATCCATTCATCCATCTATCTATCTAACTATCATCTATCTATCATCTATCTATCATCTATCATCTAACCATCCATCCATCCATCCATCTATCTATCTATCTTATCTATCTTGCAAGCACGAAGGCATCAGCCCTTGCAAAAGAGGCCTGTAGTTACGACATGGCATTTCGTAGAGTTGTCTGTGGCCTTTAGACATGCACAGAACGGGGCGCGCATCATGTAACTTTTTAATATGTGAATGTTGCACTGCGTAACTTTTAAATACAGGAATGCACCGCTCATGCGTCTTTTTAGCCACTGAAGCTGCACTAAACAGGTCCTCAAGTTACGACTGTAATGGAGCTTGCCTAAAATGGTCGGTATTGATAGCGGTTGTTAATCGAGCCGTCCAAAGGGAGTGATCTAATTTTATGAGCATTGTTTTTGACGTGGTTGTGAATTATTCGATGGTTTGCTAGGAGATGCTTGTGCAAAAAGCAAATTCCTGGGGGTTGTTTGTGTTTTTTTGCAAAACCGTCATTAAGTGAGATAAACCGTCATTAAATGAGATAACGTGGCCGCAGGATGCCACAAATGGCTACAGCTGTGGTCTTGGTGGCCAAAGTGCAGCCATGAAGGTGGGAATCCAGCCGTCAGAATTTTGAATCTGGGTTCTAAGGGCTCTCGGAGAGGTTGGTCGTAAGTTGATGATTATCTGTACACGACAGGTAATCCTTGAGTTACGATCACAACAGAGCCCAAAATTTATGTCGCAAAATGAGACACCTGTTAAGTGAACCTTGTCCCATTTTACGATTTTTCTTGCTGCGGTTGTTAAATGAATCACTGCTGTTTTGTAAGTTGGTAACTCGGTTGTTAAGTGCATCTGACATTGCTCGTCGGAAGATCGCAAAAGGAGATCACGTGACCATGGGAAACAGCAATGGTCATAAGTATGAACCAATTGCCGTGAGTCTGAGTTTTAATCATGTGACCACGGGGAGGCCGCCACGTCATAAGTTTGAAAATAGTCATGAGTCACTCCTTTCAGTGCCGTCCACTGAGTGAACTGTTGTAAGTGGAGGAGTTAACCTGTATTTCAAGCCCTTATTATTGGATTAAAAGTACGCCATCAAAGCAAAGTTGGATCGGTTCCACCTTAATTTGTTTTTTTATGGATCCATTCTCTGAGTTTGGAACGATAATTTAGCCGTTTAGGCTGCTTTGGACCTTAATAGTTTGTATAAAATTCCGAATTTGATAGTATTTAGCCCAATTCTTAGATGATACCTAAATTAAGAAAGAGGTATTAACCTGCGAGGATCTCACCATATTGATCAGGGAGAACCATTATGGCCTTCAGCTTGTTAGTCCTTGAGTTACAACCATTCATATAGAATAGACTAGAATATATTACAAT